CTTCTCTATGGTAGCATTTTTCATGCTAGACTGCCACCTCTGGTTAATTTGCATGACTGTCCTCACCCAGGCTCTCATCTCTGGAGCAGGAGCTCTACCTCATTAGTCCTGGAACAGCCAGTACCTGGACACAGGGCTTTACGAACAGCATGGCACCAATAAATCTTTATTGAAGAAAATAAATCAATGAGCATGTGTCCATTAAAGCGTTGCTGTGCCTAGACTCTCTGACCTGGGATAAGGGTGAGAAGTATCCCTTTTATTTCCTCCAACTTGGAGCCCAGAGCCTCCCTCCCATCAGGAGCCAGCTGTTTTCAATGTCTGGACTCAGAGCTGCCTTCCTGGACGTGCTGAGGCCTTTTCTCCAGTCCAGAAATGAATCTGGGCTGCCTGAACATAGGAAGAGCAAGGGATGTGAGACTGTGTGGGACACAGACATGGATGAAGCTGCTACTGCAGCTTAAGAGGCTCAGGCCCAGGGGACAAGATGTGAGGCCACCTTATTCCCTCATTCCCTTGGGCTTGGAGGGAGGATCCTTGGCTGCAATGATAGCACCCTCCAACCAATCCAGTGGGTTTACAAGGGGCCATGACTTGGAAAACAGCTGTTGAAACCCAAGTGGTCATAGTGGGATTTAATAGAGCAGGGCTTGGTGACAAAAGGACCTCACTTCTAGAACAGACACAAAAACACGGGGGGGGGGGAGAAGAGAGAGAGAGAGAAGAGAGAGAGAGAGAGAAGAGAGAGAAAGAGAAGAGAGAGAAAGAGAAGAGAGAGAGAGAGAGGAGAGAGAGAGAGACAGAGACAGAGAGAGAGACAGAGACAGAGACAGAGACAGAGAGACAGACGGAGAGAAAGAGAGAGAGCACCAGTCCCAGAGCCACCCACCAGAGGCTGATTCACACACCAAGACAGCCTCACACATTATATCCTCAGAGGCACACTACTGCTGCTGATTGGGAACTGGCTGCCATGAACCTCCTCAGGCGCTTTGCTGTGATGACCCATTTGCACAGAGTCTTGGTTTCTAGAACCTCTCAGGTCCAGGGGAAGACAGGTTTCATCTGTCAGTGTTAGTCACAGTGTCCTCACTTCACTGTCTCACCATAATGACACATTTTTTTTTCTGTGTTACCTTGAGCAAGTTGCTATACCTCTCTGAGCTTCCATTGCCCTATCGACATAGACTAAATGATCTTCAATTCTTGTTCTTCTCACACGTTCAGTGACCCTGTCGCTTAGGGGACTGCTACAGTCACAGCTACCTGCTGTGCCAGCCAACTGCCTAGTTGCAAGTCACCTGATGACACTGCTGTCCTGGGGGCTATTATGCCTCCCATGAGCCCCAGTGCAAGTATTCTCAGTATCCTCTAAGGTTGCCCTCACTAACCCCTAAAATACTTCATGACACCATTGGCATCTCACCCTGCCTAAAATTGCCTCTTTTCACAGCCCAGGGCTACAGAATGGGTGGGCAGCTGACTTGAGTCTCCCAGACTAGGTCCTTAAAAAAAAAATATATATATATATATATATATATATATATATATATATATATATATATATATAAAATCTCACTATATATAATAATCTCACTATCTTAAGTCCCACGACAGACTTCAGAAACTCTAGTCCAGGGCCTTGATGCAACCCAGAAGATCCTCATGGGCTGGACCTTGGAATTCAGGCTAGCTCCTGACCGAGCACCCTCATTCTATAGAACTGCAGCAGAGGAACTCACGGTCTCCACTGGGACACACGTTTCTAATCCTGCACCGCCTCATGGTAGCCAATCTTGACTGCTACAAGTGCACAGAATAGAAACTGGCTCTGCTTATTTGCAGTTTCCAAAACCACCTCAGTGGCCTGGTCTTTGTGCTTCGAGTGCTGCTCCTCCTCTCCCTTTCCCGGACTAATCTCTTTCCTCACACATTTCAGGCATCTAATCCTCTGGGAAACCTCCACTGACTCCATTACAACCCCCAGGCCTGAGTGGGTGCCCTCTCTGAGCCTTCTCATGGCCCCTGAAACTTCCTCCTGTCACTCTCTGTTGTACTCTGCTGTGCCTTTCTTGGCCTCTCCCCAACCGGTCCACTGGAGGCGACATCTGAGTATGTCGGGCATGACCCGCCCTGGCATGACCAGCCCTGGACCCTCACAGATTCTGTAAGGAAGGCTTTGTCTCAAACCCTTTCATATATCAACCACCGGATTAGCAAATATTTAAAGGAACGAATAACGTCAAGAGCGACGGTGAAGGACAAAGAATACTATCCTACCGTGCTCCTGAGAGAATAAATTGGTCCCACCTCTTTTCAGATCCATTTCTCAATGGTTGCTCAGGGTTCAAATATTTGTAGAGTTTTGTGCCAAAGTTCCATGTCTGTGTATCTCTTCTAGAGTGGCACATCCTCTCTGAACAAAGATATTGGAAAAACTTTTGAGAACTTTAAAAGTTGGGGAAAAAATGTGAAAGGTCCTTGTGTGTGGAAGTAGTTAAAGAAGTATGGCATATCACCTAGAACACTGTGTAGAAGCTAAAAATGATGAGACAGTTTTTCATGAACTGACAGGAGAAGTTCACCCAGACTTGCTGTAAAATGCAAAAATCAAGTGCCACACCATACGTGCATCAAGAGCCAATACGTACCTTATGGCCCCACGAAAGGCAAGCGCATGTTTCTATTAGTGCATGTATGTGCATGTAAATGCATTGACTGAGGAATTTTTGAGGAAACACATTAAACCCCTGCTAAGGGGGCTGGTGATGGAGAGGCGTGGACAAGGGAGACTATTGTTTTATCATCTGTATTTGCGCAAATAAGGCAATATTGTAAACAGGTCTTTAATAAAAGAAACTGTTGCGATTGGTAATAATGAGAATAATGAGAGTCACTTCCCCTCTTGCAGGAGCTTCTGCGAAACTTGCTTGCAAGCCGAGAAAATCGTATTGAGATCCTCTCACGTACCCAGCGCTTTCACACATGTAATTTACCTGTAATTTATCCAGTTCAGTCTCAGGGCTGGCAAAATCCAGTTGACCCCTCCTCCCTGTAACATCTGCTCCAAATTTTAAAATCAACTTTTTCTTGAATACCTACATACTTGTTTAAATCTCAGCTGAGGGAGACACGGCATAAAACTGGGGACTGACACGGTAGCCTTTCTTGATATAAATCCCACCCATCTGCAGGATGGGGATTCGGGGGTGGGTCTTGTCACCGTCACTCACAGCCCCTCCCTGACTCCTTGCAGAACTCTGCGTCCCTTCAAGGCAGTGGCACCGAGGCAGCTCATTTTCTCAAAGGAGACTCAGAAAGAAAAGAAAATGTGACTGAGCTGGGCAGGGTTGTCCGCCTCACCTGCCATCAGGCTCCGGGGACTGAGCAGCCTGGCCTTCTGGGCCAGCCCGGGACTCATTTCTTTGAAAAATCTCTCGGTTGGTGTATTAGTCCGCTCGGGCTGCCGTAACAAAATACCACAGGCTGGGTGACTTAAACAACAGACATTTATTTTCTCACAGTTCTGCCAAGTGGGAAGATCGAGATCAAGGTTTCTGGTGAAGGCTCTCCGATTTGGTTTCTGGTGAAGGCTCTCGTCATGGTTGGCCTCCTTCTTGCTAAGACGTCACACGGCCTTTCCTGGGTGCATGCGGTGCAGAGAGGAAGAGACATCCCTGCTGTCCAAATGTTCCTGCAGAATCACGGTTGTCACTACCTCGAGATACTGATAGATACAATGAGCTCTGTGGCGTCTCATCTCATAAGGACACTAATCCAGTCGGAGCAGGCCTCCACCCTTATGACCTCATTTAACCCCAATTCCCTCCTAAAGGCTCTAGCTCCAGATACAGTCCCATTAGGCGTCAGGGCTTCAACCCATTAATTGCGGGGTGGAGGAACACAATTCAGTCCATAGCAGTTGGCAAGGTTTTCGGTTGCTGACCCTCACTTTCCCGCGTTTCTGATTCCCTGCTGTCTAAATGTCCCTGCAGAATCACAGATGTCACTACCCTGACATACTGACAGATACAACTGGCCCCTCGTCCTGCCTAAAGCAACCTACTACCACATCCCAGGGTTACTAATGAGGAGGTGAATTGAGTCTCCTAGCCCAGAGGCCCTGCTGATCCATGTCACTGCCTTAAGCGTCATCGTAGACGTCAGAAACCCCGGACCAGGCCCTGGGTACACCCTGGAATATCTTAGGTGGGCAAGACCTTGGGATGGTTCCCTGGGACAGATCCCGGCCCCTGAGAAAACTCACTCAAAAACTGCAGCAGAAGGGGCTCAAGGACTCCGTGGGGCACAGGTTTCTCGTCTTGTTCTGCCACCTGGTGGCAGATGGCTGCGTCTACAAGGAGACAGATGGAAACTGCACAAAACCTGGGCCTTCATTCCTGGGAAATCTCCAGCAGTTTGGAACAACCTTCCTACTTAGAAAATGAGTTTCTTTATATGAGAATGAAAGTTGTGCTGAGAGATGACAGTGTAGCTTTCTGGGTCTTCATTTCATTCGTTTCTTTAAGTTAACAATTTAAACCTAGCTTTTATTAAGCATTTAAACACAACTTGCCAGTTTGGTCATTTTAATCACATAGCTAGTCATATAAGAAACATTACTTTCACTTGTTCATTGGTTCATGTTCAATTAACTCCTAAGTTTCAGTGGAGTGGTGTAGGAGAAAACCCAACTGGAGTAGACTCAAGGAGAGAAAAGGGAGATAGGACAGACAAGACCTGCTCACTTCTTGGAGGAGTTTCTAAGTATTTCGAAACACTTGCTGGAAATTCACAAGATTTCGGTGAGAATTTCTGTGCACATCAGAGGGAATGATGCATTCACATGAAAGCTAAGGGCTCTTTACCTCTGATTTGCACACGAATCCTGTGAATCTCAGGGCTGTCTGGAACCATTTGAACCCTCCTCTCTGCAGCATACTGTACAAGTGACCACTCGGGCTGTGTTTCAACACCTCTAACGTTACTAATCTCATTACCTTACAAAGCCAGCGATGGCCTGGCTGGTGGGAAGGACATCTTCGTGTGGATCCCATCTGCAGCATCTGCGGTCTTGTTAACCTCTTTCTCGGCTCCTTCCCCTGACCTTGTCTCTGCAACTCTGGGTCCACCTAGAACTCTGGTGTGACACCCCAAGAGCAGATGTGATGGCTGAGGTCCAATCATAGTCTTTTAGTGGATGTGTATTCAGGGGGCAAACACATAACGCTGCATTTACCTCCACCCTATGAAGATACAAAGAGCCTTCAATACACATCCATTACTCATAAATGACGACATCTTATGTATCAGGATCACGCTTACAATTTCATCTGCAAGGTTTAACTGTTAAATGTGAGAAAAACAGTGCACAGTAACGTCACAATAGTGTCCACGTGAGTGAAGTAGGATGACCAACTGTCCCACTTTGCCTGGGATGGAGAGCTTTCCTGGGACAGGGGCCTTTAAGTTTTAAAACTGGAATGGTCCTGCCCACAGCAAACTAGGACCCTGTGTGACCTTGGCATGCGATGAACCATTCATTGGCAAATAAGATGAGCTACTGCTAGAAGACCTCTACACATCGTGTTCTCTCGAGGAGGACCTTCAGGGCCGTTCTGCTCAGCAAGCAGAAACGTGGCTCAAGCCTGCTGGGAGGGCCAGGAGGAAGCAACAGAGGAAAGGAAGATTGGAGGAGTGGGAGTAAGAGACACAGGAACAGACGGAATGTGACGTACCACAAACGTATCCACTGCTGGAGCACAAGGCTGGAGGAGGGAGGGACGATGGGGCAGGGGCAGAGGGGCGGAATGGGGCGTGGAGGGGGCAGGCCCTCGGCCTCCTTGCACCCGGCAGAGTGACGAGCTTCACCGGTGTCTTCAACGAAGTCGTGTTGGTCCCTACTGGCACATCACACACTCTTGGAAGCATGATCTTCACTCCCTTCCTTCCACCTGCTGACCTGGTGAGTCTGGCTTCCCTCCATTGTCCTGGAATGTCCTCTGGGAGGCTGGACTTTCGTCTGTGCAGGTCACTGCTGCATCCCCAGCCCCTGGAAGAGGGCCGGGGGAGGCACACAACAGTTGCCGGATGGGGTAACGGAAGCCGGGGATGGGAGGGCCATTAGGATCCGGCTGTTTAGTTTGTCTTTCAGAATGTGAAAGGGCCGCGAAAAGATCCTGAGGAGTTGGTTGTTGCGTCTGACGCCACGGAGGACCCATCCAGGGGCACAGGCTTGCCCAGGGAACCTGCTCTTCTGCGAGGGTCTTGGAGGAGCCGGCTCCAGAGGGCCCTGGCATGTTTCACCAAGTGCTTCAGGTGAGAGCTCCTTGGGAGCCAGCCTCTGCCTCTCTCACTGCTCACCACCAAGCCCATCCGCCGCCCCTTGCTGTTCCACCAAGAGAACCTCAGACCAAGCCAGAAATCCCCAGGGCTTCCAAGGTCCACTTGTCACTCTGCTTTTCTCCCTAGGAGAGGACACCCGACACTCAGAATCTGAGACCACCGGAGCCACAGACACAAAGGTCTGAACGGTGACCGAGCCCCTTCTGCTGCTCCATGCCCCTGCCCGCCCGCGGTGTCCCGGTCACCGGGCCTGAAATAAACGCCGGCACGCTTGACTGTTTTTTGCTTTGTGGCATTTGATGTAACTTTCAACACGTCGGGTGAACTGGGGGTGATCAGCTTTCGCGGTGGTGGGCTTGCGGAGGGAGAGAGCTAGCATCTGCCTTAGCCCTGTGAGGCTGTCCGCCCTCCTCCTCGAGGCAGCGCTGCTTGTTCCCGGGTCCTGGTGGCAATGGGCCGTGGCCAGTCAACGGTGAGTCTTCCACAGCTGGCAGCTCTGACCCTGGTGGGGCACTTACATGCAGGAATGAGGACGGAGTAACGTCTCTCTCCCCGCAGCAATGCGCACGGTCTTCATATCTGAGGAAAACTGGGCGGTGTTTACATGCGGAGGCGGGAGGGTCATGTGGAGGAAGAATCTGTGGATCTCAGAAAAGGCGTTAGCCCCTGTACTGACAAAGAGCTCCCAAGCCCCACCCTGCCCCACCGCAAGACAGAGAGCCCTTCCAACAGGCGACCTCGTCTCCAACTATGCATTGTTCCTTTACAGAAGGTGAGGGCTTCATTTTTTTTCTTTTCTTTTGCCTTCCTAAGGTGACCTTGGCATGTGCTGCAACACAGTATCCGCGGGAGAATTCTGAAAGGGGGGGTTGGAGCATACTTGTTTCTTTAACCTGTTAGAAATTGCAACACAAGCAATCACCACGGTCAGTGGAGAGACAGCAGGCCTTTCGGACACACAGTAATGGGTGGGAGGACGTCACAGGGGCCAACGTCAAATTACATTGATCTGTTTACTTTCTGAATGAGGAGCTGAATCCCGCTGATGCTCCCAGAGTGGGGCCCTCAGCTTTGCAGACTGGGCGGCTCTAGTGTTTCAGCCTGCCCAGGGGAGAGCAACACTCTCAAGGACCCACTCTCACAGGAGGCCGACCCATCCTCCCTGCTGGCACATTCTCTTGCTTCTCTCTCGTTGAGACTGAAATAAATCTGGAAGTGTTGGGTGGTTTTATGGGTCAATATCTTTTTACACCTCTGGAGAAAGATATTTAGTTGGGATAGGGTTGGCTGTTGGAGGGGAGCTTAAGACATATACATGTATCTGGACCCATGTATGCGGTGATAGTCATGGGACAGCATTGCTTGTTCCTAAGTACCTGTTAGGGCTGTGGCCTACACACAATGCCTTTTCCACAGGTATCTTGCTATGGGCCTTGAGGAGGGCAATTCAGTGTAACAGTGTGGAAAAAATATCATCTCTCCCTGCCCAAATGCATGCACCCTTCATACCTGACAATGTTTACTGGCTTCAAATGGAGAGCAAGTGGCTTGGGATTTTGAGGAAAGGCCTCAGATTGAGGTACACATAATCAGCTCCAACTATCCCCACCCCAAACTAAGACAGAGCCCTTCCAAAACCCTTTCCCCATTCACCTCAGATTACATGTTTTCATATTTTGACCCCCACCCTCACCCGACCACCACCACCTCCAGCCTTTCTTTGATGCCAGCGGAGGAATGTGAGTGAGGGGTTGCAATGTTACATTCGCTGGATCCTACACATGGTAGGGTAGGCCTTGAGAGAACTGGTGGCAGGATCCCACGGTGTTTGTGACGAAGGGCACAAAAAGGCTTTGCGAGGGCAGCGGGCAGGGATGTAAAACATGCATGTCAATCTCTAAGAACTGAAGATAATTTTAGGCTAGTTATTATAATCACTATACCCACCAGGATTATTCTAAGGCATGGAGAATACTGGTCCTTTAAAAACCACGCTAGTGCTGGCCACTGTAGTTTGTGGTAGGGTTTGGCCTTCAGCAGATCCCGCACCCCACTCAGAAAACCTCCATAGCTTCCTGGGCCAGCCAAGCCGGATCTGAGCTCCTCAGCCTGGCCACCAAGGCTCTTCCTAGCTTCGTTCCAGGCTAGTTTAAACTTATCTCTCACCCCTACAGACAGTTTACCCTCTGTATAGACAGGATAACTTATCCATTCTAACATCTAGGCCTTTGATTCTGAAAACAACAGCAACAACGACTCTCTGCAGTCGTATCACCCACTGAGCTCTGTCTCTCCCACGCTTCAGGGACGAACATCTGCTCAGTGGCTTCTGGGAATCAGCTCCGGTGAGTGCAACACTTACCCCCTTGCCCATCGCTCTTTACGGATGCTGAATGTAAAGCACCTGCTGTGTGCCCTGTAGAAACTGCACAGGGACAGGAGTCCAGGGCAGCTTCCAGGCATGCCACAGGTGGAGTCTTTTCTCTGGCTCACCCAAGGGCCAAGAGCAGCTTCTTTCCAAAGAGTCACTTTCCACTACACGTTTATTTTATTTTATTATTTTCTTAATCTCTCAGCCCTGAAGTCCACCAACTGAGGCTCCTGGCTCCTGTACATGTCCCCACTCCCAGATCATCTCTCCACAGTCTCCCCAAATTCTAACCATCCAGTTCCACTGAAGAACATGGAATGCTCCCAATGCCCACAATACCCTGCCTCGGGGACGCACTGCACTGACGACTCCTTCAGTGCTTCAGATCTCAGATGGCATCTCGCGGCAAGGAAGCCCTCCTTGCTCCCAGACACCCACCACCCAGGATTAAATGTCTCTCCTCTAGGTTCCCATACCACCTGGTCCTTATCCTCATCCCGGCAATGAATACATCTGGCTGATTTACTTACATGACAGCCCCATCTAGACTCTCAGATGTGGGGCAGAGGCTGAGTCTGGTGCATTCCTGTACCTCCAGCGCCCGGCACAGTGCCTCACATATAGCAGGTAGTCAGTATATGTATGTTGAACAAATGAGTCGATGAGCAAGGTGTCTAATTCATTGAATTTTTATTTTTCCCTACATTCTGGAGAATTAGGCAAATACAAGCAGAGAGCGGTTGTAATTTTGTGCAACAGACACTGATTGCCTTTTTATCTTTTTCTATTTGGAGGCGGGAATGAGTGTACTGGTAGTCTCTCAAACTTCCAAAAAACAGCTTATTCCAGTGCTGTGATAAGTTACAGCCATTAAATGATATAGTATCCTGATTTACTTTATGAAACAGCAAATCCCTCCTGCTAAAACCGAAACAGAGAACAATAAAACATTTGACCAACGTCATTCATAAACCTAGATGTCCAACTTAAATATTCAATCAAGTGTCTATGGAACAAAGGATTTTGAAAAAAAAAAAAAAAAGATGCTTGGGTATGGTTTTTGTTTCAACTTTGATATAATTATATCACCATGTAGTTTTAACCGGTTTATTTCCTGTAAGTTAATTATCATTTTAAGACAAGTTAAGGGAAACAGAACTTTGCAATACGCAAATTGAAGGCTAAATCACTGGGAAACACAAATAGAACTGGAACACAGACACCATGGGCGGCATGTTCTCCCTAACCCCACTCTACCCCTCGACTCTTGAAAAGTCAGGGCCCCAGTGCCCACGGCTGTGGGGCCCTTTCGGCTACCCACAGCAAAACAAAGTGAAGGCTCAGCTTCAGCCTTCACTGCTGGCAGAAGGGGTCCCTGACACTAGCCTGAGACTGCAACCAGCACTGGCACTGTCCCGGGTACTGATCATTGCTCCAGCCATGCCTCTAACCCTGGCACTGGCACTTGCATTGGTGCTGGTGCTGATGCTTGCTTCAGCCATGGCATAGGCCCTGGAACTGGAACTGGCACTAACACTGGCACTTGTCACGTCACCAACGGCAGCTGCATCTCGGGCACAGGGTATCGCCTCCTCTTCTCTCAAGGCCTCATTTACTGCCACGGAAAGGAATGGGGGTGGGTGTCATTCACTTTGGCCACAAACTCTGGGACTTCCATCTGTCTTGTTTCCTTTGAGAGCCCCCACAAGAATACCTAGAGCGGGGGATAGCTGTGGGACACCTATTTGTGCACCAGATACTCCTGCTGCACACTAGCTCTGGTGATGGGCTTCATGGACTCCCCAAAGACGAAATGCTTTTTAGACGAATGTGCCTCCAACACCCTCAGCACCTCCCAGACCACCTTCTCGGGGACACAGCCGGCCTGCATGAAGACGGAGTCCAGAGAAATCATCAGGAGCCGGGTCTTTGGTGTGCCCTGGTGGCCTGTCAGGCCCCAAACCAGGGCAGGATCGATTTTTCTGATCAAAGCATAGGAGTGTTCTGCTGGATCACGTTCCTTCAGATAGAACCCAAACACTAACTCGGGGAGGTCAGAGGCTTTCTTGAAAATCTCAGGGAGGAAGCTCCTGTACCTTTTGATGACATACTTCAGCATGTCTGCCCTTTTGATCGCCACCGTCTTCCGGTTCTTAACCAGCAGGTACTGCACCAGCTCAGCTACTTTCTAGCTCACAGGGTCCCTGGGCATGCGCATCACGGAGGTTGGGGGCCCGCGGGGTGCTGCGGGGGCGGCGGGGGGCGGCGCGGGGCGGCGGGGGCGCGGGGCAGGACAGACGGTTGCCTAGGGGTCTCTGGGGTCCACAAAGGAACTTTCAGAAGCACCTGAGCAGGGGCTCCATGCCTCAGAAGAAGTGATCCCAGGGCTCCCGGGAGCACTTGGTGTCCCCGCTGCAGGCGCCCCCGTGGGGGTCTCTCGGGCAAGGAGGAGAGGAGGAGGCCACCGGGCCTCTGAGACCCGCAGGCCCTGGGTGTCACCTCTACCGCGGACGTTCTCACCTGCGGCTTTGGCTGGCCCAGGAAGCAGGAACTCTGGGAAGAGATGCGCGTCCACGGGCATTCGGCGGCCGGAGCGCTGTGTGCCAGGCCGCGAAGACAGTGACGTCGCCGCGGCTGTTGTGGCGGCTGCTGAGAAGACCCGGAGCCCCAGGGTCTTGAGTCGGAGACCGCCGCCCTCAGACCCGGAGGAGAAAGAGGAGGGGGAGAAGGAGGAGCAGGAGGAGGAGGACGAGGAGGACGAGGAGGACGAGGAGGAGGACGAGGAGGACGAAGCGGGAGGGGAGGGGGCTAAGCCTCCTCTGCCCGGGTCTTCCCGGAGCTGTGGGAATGGACGGGCGCCGCCCCACAGTGCCTCTTCTGGCAGGAAACAGTACCGCAGGCTATAGCCTGAGGGATGCGGGGGCGCTGCTCCCGGAGGTGGGGCTGCTGCTGTGAGGCTTGAAAGAGACCTCAAGCCTAAAAGCCAGGCCCAGAGTAAGCGCTTAGTAACTGTTAACTGTTGTTGTGATGGATCCGATCATTCTGGATTATCTTTGTGACCCTCCTTCTCTCCTGTGGAGAAGACTCCCTAAGAGTGTAGGCATTTCTGTCCAGCGGCTCCTCTGCAGCTTCCTCTTCAGATCATCCACCTGAAGTTGCTTTGCTCAGTGCCTGGCCTAGAGTAAGCACTTAGTGAGTTTTCCTTTGCGTTCATTTCATTAGTATAGTGCACGTCGTATCTACACTGCTTGCATCCTGTGTGGCCATCTGGATGTGGAGGAAGGACCCGCGAAACAAGTGACGTCCATGGAGAACTGAAGATGTGTTTCCTTTTCCCTATGATCAGTGGATGCCCAACATCAGTTCTCTTGTGTATTATTTCTCTCCCATACAGTCTGGAAAGTTATTGTTCATTGTAATGTAACTTTCCAAACCACCATTCGTGTAAGGACATCCTCTTTTTACGTCTCTTACTCCCATGTCACTGCACTGTGTCTCATCCTTCCTCTACAGAGCGCTCTCTCTCATTTTGCCTCTCAGCTGAGATACAGGGACGTGAAATCGACTGCTGCTTCGAGGCCAGCCCCTAGGAAGCCTGCAAATGAACAGCAAGAAGACTCCTCCACCCTAGCAAGTGCTTTCTCTTATTGTATCATGGGATCCAACTTAGCATTCCTTTTTTTCATCCTAACCTTTCTAAACAGTAACCAGTGCAACCTCCTCGCACATAACGAAACGATTGACTTTTATATAGCAGTTGTTATACTTCCCAATCACATGTACTGAATTTCCATATAATGTCCACGCTTGCGCTTCAAATTTCTTCCGTTGATCTAAATTCCGTCACTGCTAATTCCGCTGTAAAATAGATTTACAAATTGATTTCGTGCGACTGGAACTAATTCCCCCCCTCACTATTCTTCTTTTACAAAATCTCTTCTATTTTGGGAAACGTCGTCCTCTATAAGAACTTCAAAATCAAAGTTTTCAAGTTAAAAAAAAAATAATAATTCCCTGGCTTGATTTTTAACTAGAGTTTCTTAGGACATGTAGTTTACTGTGAGAATAATTAACATCTCATTAACATGAGAAGATGGAGGCTCCTCAGCCACAAAATACAGCATGTTCTTCATGTTCTTCCATTGACTCTACTTTTTCATCAGAGTACTTCGGTCACCTTTTATATTGCTTTATATAGCTTCCGCATAATTCTTAAGTTTATCCATGGCAGTCTCTTTAGTTTCATTGCTGCTATGCATTGAATATTTCTCATTATGTCTTCTGATTACTCATTTCTCACTCAGAGGAAGCCGATTGATTGGTTTCGTATATTTTGGAGCATACGGCCATCTTCATATCACCTCTCCTTAACTAGAATGCTTTTTCAGAGGAGTCTCACGCATTTTCTAGGTAGGCAATCACACACCGTCTCTGCATATTACAATTACGGTATTCATTTCCGCTTTTCTTATCACATTGACTAGGACCATGGTACCCTGTTAGCTAACAGCGGTGATGTGAAACTCTTTTGTTGTTGTCGTTCCCGCTTTTAACAGGAAGGACTGTGTTCTTTTGGGGCTAAATATGTTGTTGGTTTTGGATACCGATTGTGCCATTTCTCAACGTATTGTCTGTCAGGTCCAAGTTACTCCTTCTTTGCCCTGCTTTGGCACACTAGAGCTCATCCTTGTGAATCTTTCTCCCATGCCAGCTAACAGAATGTTAGGCTCCGGCCATAGAGAGCACTGGGGGTGACCCTACAAATCCCAGCACGAAAATATGTACCTCCTCCTAGTAGCAGTCTCCCGTTTGATGATATTCACTGAAGGAGGTCGGAGACCAGTACAGGCAAGCTCCAGCTGCACGTCCAGACCCTGATCTCCCTACTATCAGCTGCCTCTGAGCAGCTCCAGCATTCCCATGCACCACCACCACCCACCACCTTTCTGAAAATAGGAGCACCTGCATATGGATAGGTGCATGACCTGGAACCATGGGCCTGGGATCGGGCCTGATGTATCAGCCTTGATCTGGACCTGCACAGCATAGAGGAAAAGCAAAGGCCTTAACATGAAAACGTTTGGTGTGGATGGCTTTATGGGTTTGTTTCACGAGCTTAGGGTCAGCAAATAAAAGTGGGGGAGGGGGGGGTCTGCTCGTGGGGGCAGGTAGCAGCAGCCCTGACGATGTGTGAGGTCCGCCCTTTGGGATGTAACTTCAGCCATGTATACACACAGATTAGCACAGGGGGGTAGGTGGTCTCAAGCAGTAACCTTGCCTCAGGAGACACAGGAGGCCAAAATTTTAGACCTGGTGGGAATGGGCTTTGTTCTCCTCAGATGGGTACGAAGACTCCAGTGAAGCTGGTCCTAAAAGTGTGTTTTCTTGCACACAATGAGGAGGACGGGGAAGGAGAGGGTTATAACCCAGGAGTCTAGAAGGTGGTGGTTGTTTGGACTGTGGCCATCCTTTGAGATACTGTGACTGGTTGGTCTATAGTCGTCATCCAGGATGCAGTGATGGGCTCTCAGGGCCAGTATGACTCTTGAGCCAAATCCAGGACTTGGAGGCACAGGTCAAGGTCGGAAAGTCTATCATCATAACTACGCTAAAGGTAGCTCCAGGGAGCACTACCAGTGTAGGACCGCATTGTATTTTGTTCATCCACATGGCTGGTCAGGATACTGTTCATATGCCCAGTCTATGGCTTTGTAGAGGAATAGTTGTACACTACACATCAGGATGACACTGTGGGCGCAATACCGCCCGGATGGTCCGGCACTGAGTAGGGAAAACTGTGTTCTGGATCCAAGCCATCAACCATATCAGGCATAGCCAGGCCTGTAGTTACCATCTTCCTCTCCTTTCTGCAAGATCCGTGTGGTGGTAGGCATGGGTCCATAAGCCAATACTTTCATTTCCTGTCGGGAAGGGCCTGAAATTAGCTAACCTTTAAGTCCATCATAACTGTGGAAAGCCTTAGAAAGGGGTGGTGCCTGCTTTCCAGAAAAACAGAAAAGTCATGTTGGATATTTCACTGCTCCATCTGTGTATTTTCCTGCCCTGGGTCCAGGTGTCGACTCTCTGTGGATGGCATTCGGGTCAAAGAACGGACACAGAAATGGAATATGGGGGTTGTGCTCAGGAAACGGGAATCAGAGTTGGAAATCCATGACTTGGCGTCCAAAAGTATTCATATATTTGTGGGGATTGACAAATTTCACCCATATGGAAAGTATTACTGGGGTCCATTTGACTCTCCCCATGATTAACACAATCGTTTTCAGTTTGACCCAGCTTGCTGTCCTTTGAGTCAGGGCATCAACGTGTATTATCAGGCTGGTGAATTCAATGGGTGCTATGACCATGGTAAAATCACAAGGAATAATGGTCTCAATGGTGAGGGTTGGCAAGGGGTTGCATACCCTCGCTTCTATAGCCTGTAATCCACCTTCGTGAAAAAGAATCATCTGCTTGAATTTGGACGGATCCCTAGGAGTCCAAGTGACCAGAGAACCTGTGTTGGGTAAGGCCAGAAAGTGTTGAGTATTATGAGGGAACCGATGGACCACCAGGGCTGGATATGGCCGTATGACCCCAAAGGTTGGCACCAAAGATGACCAAGTCCCTATTATATGGAGCTAGCAGTTCCACTGACAATGGTTGGGGAGGCTAGAGAGGCCATTGGGTGGGAGAGCCATAGAAAATCAATGGCTCGGCATTTGCCCCAGAAAAGGATACTTGTGGGCCATTTGAATGTCCCATCATTGTTAGATGTCCTATAGTTCATTTTATTTCCATGTGGTTTTCAGGAACAAGTGGGGTTTGGTTACATAAGTTCTTTAGTGGTGACTTGTGAGATTTTGGTGCACCCATCACTCGAGCAGTATACACTCTACTGATGGTAGTCTTTTATTCCTTACCCCCTCCCAACCTTTCCCCCAAGTCCCCAAAGTCCACCGTATCATTCTTATGCCTTTGTATCCTCATAGCTTAGCACCCATTTATGAGTGAGAACATACATGTTTGGTTTTCTATTCCTGAGTTACTTCACTTTGAATAATGGTTTCCAATTCCATCCAGATTGCTGCGAATGCCACCATTTCATTTCTTTTTATGGCTGAATGGTATTGCATGGTTATATATATATATATATATATATATATATATATATATATAATCTCACATGTATATATATGTGAGATATATATATGTGTATATATATATCACATATATAGATACACATATATATCTCACATATATATACATGTGAGATATATATATATATAACTCACATATATATACATGTGATATATATATATATATATATATATATATATAACCATGGAATACCATTCAGCCATAAAAAGAAATGAAATATATATATATACATATATATATCACATATATATATGTGATATATATATGTATATATATATACATACACACATATATATATATGTATCACAATTTTTTCATCCACTCATTGATTGATAGGCATTTGGGCTGGTTCAATATTTTTGCAATGGCAAACTTTGCTGCTATAAACATGGATGTGCACGTATCTTTTCTATATAATGATTTCTTTTCCTCTGAGTAGATACCTAGTAGTGGGATTGCTGGGTCAAATGGTAGATCTACCTTTAGTTATTTAAGAAATCTCCACACTTCTCTTTTCCATGGTTTGTAATAGTTGCACTAGTGCTTTGTACTCGTTTACATTCCCATCAGCAGTGTAAGAATCTTTCCTTTTCCC